ATCAGGCTGAAACCTACTTTCCTTTCTTCATATCAACACTTAAGGTAGATAATCACAACAGAACTTTGAGTAATATCTTCCACAACTGGAATGAAGTCATCCAAACGTGATAACAAAAGATTACTTTATAATTTAGTATACAATAAAGTCGTATTTCAAAGCAAAGGGGAAATAAAGTACTATTCATTAAATGATGTTAGGACAATTGACTAGCCATTTTGAAAAAAAACAAAAATGAATTTCTACTTCATTCCTCATTCCAAAATAAAATCCAGACAATTCAAAGACTCAAAGGAAATAAAAATAATAATAATGAAAGTACTGGAAGAAAATATGTGTGCGTGGGCTTTATGAATTTGAAGTGAAAATAACTTTTTAAGAACAAGGTAACTTCTCTATAAACTTGAGGTGAAAAGGACTTTTTATACCAGTAAGTATAATCTCAAATGCAGCATAAGCAAGGGGTTAAGAGTACAGGTTTTAGAAGCAATAGCTTGCCTTCAGATCTTGGTTTTACAAACATTAACTTTGCAATCCTGACACAACTCTGTTGTTTGGATATTGGACTCTCCAAATCTCATGTTGAAATTTGATCCCCAAGGTTGGAGGTAGTGCAATATGGGAGGCATACAAGCTTGGTGCTGTACCAGAGTGAGTTGTCACTCTTAGTTCCCATGAGAGCTGATTGTTAAAAAGAGTATGGCAACCCACACCCCTCACTTCTCTTGCCACGTGATCTCTGCATGCCCTTTTGCCTTTTACTGCGAGTAGAAGCAGCCTGAGGCTCTCCCCAGAAGCAAATGCTGGCACCAGGCTTCTTGTACAGCCTTGATATAGTTTGAATCCCCTCCAAATCCAATGTTGAGATGTAATCCCCAGTGTTGGAGGTGGGGCCTGGTGGGAAGTCTTTGGGTCATGGGGGCAGATTCCTCATATTCTTGGTGCTGTCCTTGTGAGAGTGAGTTATTGTGAAACCCTGTTGTTTAAAAGTGTGTGGCACCTCCTCTCCCCGACTTGTTCCCTCTTGCCACGAGATACTTGCTCCCCCTTTGCCTCCCACCATGATTGTAAACTTCCTGAGGCCCTCACCAGAAACTGAGCAGAGGTCAGTGCCATGCTTCCTATTACAGCCTGCAGAACTGTGAGCCTCTTTTCTTTATAAATTACTCAGCTTCAGGTAATCCTTTATAGCAACACAAAAATGGACTAAGACACACAGTCACTTAATTCATCTAAGCCTCAGTTTCATCTGCAAAAGTATGATATCTGCCTCATAGGGTTGACTAAGGATATGCAATAAACTCTATGGGTGTATGTATATAGGCCATAATCTGCTAAGACCTGCAATAAACTTTAATGAGCTACTCACATATAACTGTAATTTAGCTTCAGTTACAGTTTTACAGTATGTCACCCACAACACCTAAAATACTTAGTTTATATGTTTTATTTATATTCTTTTGGTTTATATTCTTTCATATGTTCTGGAAGAATATAAACCAAAAGAATATAAATAAAATATAAATAGGGGTTATTTCTAGGTGATGAAATTATGATTGAAATCATTTTTTTTGCCCCTTCATTTGTATTTTCTAACATGAACTAAAGGATTATGTCTCCCTGAGTGTCAGCATAGCATTGTGAATACAGTCATAGACTCGGGAGCCTGACTTCTTAGGTTGCAATGCTGGCTCCCTTACTTAATACCTGCATGAGCTTGGGCAAGTCACATAGTCTCTATCTTAGTTTCTCCATCTGTAAAATGAAGATAATATTATTTCCATTATACAACAAAATGAGTTAATATAGGTGAACTGATTAGAATTGTGCCTGGCAGATAGCTTTATGTGAATGTTTTCAAATATTATTTTTCTCTCCATGTACTTTCTCTTAAAATTCCTAGCTTTTGGATGTCTTTAATATAGCAATCAACACATGAAGTTACAGTTATATGTGAGTAACTCATTATAGTTTAATGCAGGTCTTAGCAGACTGTGGCCAGTAGCCCTCAAGCTAAGAATGGTTTTTACACTTTTAATGGGTTGTGAAAGATAGAAAATAAAAAAGAGAATTTGCAACAGAGACAGTATGTGACCCACAAAGCCTAAAATACTATTTGGTCCTTTATAGAAGAAGGTTGCTGACCTTTGGGTTAATATGCTTTCCCTTTCAAATACATTTGCAGTTTTAAATCAGAACAGTTTATACCCAGGAATAAATCTCTAAAGGAGAAATTTCAAGAAATACCTTAAATAGAAAGGAAAATAGTTTCAGACAATGAAAATAGTATTTCATCTTGTGAATGTTTGCCCTCTTCCTCTCTGTTGAGATTAATTTTTCTACCAATGATTAAGAATCACGTCCTGACAATTAATTTAAGATATGGTACAGTAGGATCAAACAATCCAAAAGGTACTTAAACTCATGAGGCTGAATGGGATCTCAAATGATTATTGGGGTTCTCTTGGCCAACTCTGGCTGACTAATCCAACTACCATGGGAATTGGGCTCATATCAGGTCTGGAATCAGCAAATTTGCTAGGCTAAGTATCCAGTTCTTTGCCACAGACCCTTGTGGTAATGAATGTGGGAGCATGAAAGCTGACTCAGGAAGTCGTTAGACACACTTCAGAGAAAGAAAATTGCCTAAGCAAAATCTTTAGAAATCTTAAGTTGTTAAAAAGCAATTGTGAAAAGGGGAAAATAAAGCTATCTTTTCTATATGTTTGCCAACAAATAGAGTGATACTCTCTGGGTAACTTTATCTACTACTTTAATTAGCCTTGAACAACTGGGAAACATTTTATACTTTATGCAAACAAAACAGCTGGAGGCAAGAGAATGGAGTAAGGGAGTCCTGGGTAGAAACCTGATGTTCCTCTGAGGGCCCTCAAGTGAGTCACATAGGAAGCTAGCAGGTCTGTCCATGAAGTTGATGTGGGGATGGGGCAGGCATTTGTCTGCTGAATCCAGGAGACTGTGGGTATTATATCATCTGAAGGGAAGGGTGGGAGGAATGAAGCGCCACTTTCTTTTTGACCTTTCTTTGGGCTTGCTGAGATTCAAACATGAATAAATGGTCAATTGAGGGGCTGTGGTTTGCCAGAAATCTATTTGCATGAAGCAGGAAGGACACTTCCAGGGCAGAGGAACAGACACATTTGGCACAGTTAAAAAATTATTAATTATAAGAGGCAGAGGCACTTCTGAATACAGCACAGATTCTGTGTTCAGACTTGACTTTCAGCCCAGCTTCTGAGTATCTAAGTCCAACATGCTGCGATTACAGGTGTGAATCACTGCACTCAGCCACTTTATTCTTCTTAATTACATCAACTTGGTAGGGACATGGGTCTGCTATGGTCTTGGGGAAGGAGATGGAGGAGGCATGTAGAGGAGAAGACATTCAGGCTGAAAGTAAGACCTACCAGTAGAAATAAGGTCCAGGAAGGCAGGGGGCTTTGTCTTGGTTTCCACTATATCCCCTAACCTGAAAACAGGGCCTGGAATGTGCAGGTGCTCAATAAATGTTCATTGAATAAACACATGAAATACAGGAAAGGTATATACAGGTCCTATGTAAAACAGCATAAAAGACAATGAGGCAGTAGTCATTGCTCTTATTGGAGGCAATGACATTTCAAAAATCATTGAAGAAATACAATATCCTAACCCAGCCATGATTACACTTCTATTGTTATACTTTCAGTATTTTATAATATGCATTTAAAATAGATTTGTAATCAGAAAATTTCTGATGGGAAATATGGAACTTATTTTCAAAAGAACCAATCTGCCTTTACCTACAAAATGTCACTAAAAACCAACATAGGTGATGTTAACTAAGTAAGTCTGAAATAACTCTTGATAGCTGTCAATACAACAAAGTATGTGGTATAAATCTTAGACTTACTGGTAAAGGAAGTATAAGACATGCATTCTCTTGCTAGTTCCTACTCTATGGGTTTCGGTGTTCTCATTTGTAAAATGAGAGGGCTGGGGCTCAGTAATCTCAAAGGCTATTTTATTTAATTTAATCTCTAAATTTTATTGTTTTACATTCTGATTTTAAAGCAGTTTGTGTGTGCGTGTGCATGTGTGTGTGTGTGTATATATATACACACATATACATAAAATATATAGAATAATAGTAATATTAATTCGGACATAGGAGCTTCTTCCATGCAGAGGGAATATAGATTTTAGAAATTCACATTTAAAAAGCCATTTCCAATTTTGGGGGACTAATTTTTACCTGGAGGAATTGCAGTAAGTAGTTTTACTCAATAGATAGACTGATTATTAGTATTTTAAATTCCCAAAGATAAATCTTTATCCTTCTAAACCAACAAAACAGAGAGTTAATGAAAAACAAAGTGACAACAACCCAATTAGGAGTAATCTAAGGGTAAGAGTGACAGTAAATCACAATTGGTTCATTGGCAAAGAAATGCGATAAAGAGGCCAGGCACGGTGGCTCACGCCTGTAATCCCAGCACTTTGGGAGGCCAAGGTGGGCAGTCAGGAGATAGAGACCACCCTGGCCAACATGGTGAAACCCCGTCCCTACTAAAACAAACAAACACACACACACACACACACACACACACACACACACACACACACACACGCCGGGCATGGTGTCACGCACCTGTAGTCCCAGCTACTCGGGAGGCTAAGGCAGGGAAATGGCTTGAACCCAGGAGACGGAAGTTGCAGTGAGCTGAGATTGCGCCACTGCACTCTAGCCTGGGCAACAGACCGAGACGCTGTCTCAGAAAAAAAAAAAGGGATAAAGAAAATTATTTTTCTTTTTTGAGACAGAGTCTTACTGTGTCACCCAGGCTAGAGTGTAGTCGCACAATCACGGCTCACTGCAGCGTCAACCTCCCAGCCTGAGGTGATGCTCCCACCTTAGCCTCCTCAGTAGCTGGGACTACAGTAGCCTGTGACTACGCCTCGCTAATTTTTTGTAGAGACGGGGTTTTACCATGTTGGCCAGGCTGGTCTTGAACTCCTGGCCTCAAGCCATCCTCCCGCCTTGGCCTCTCAAATTGCTGGGATTACAGGCATGAGCCATTGCGCCCGGCCAGAAAATTATATCATTAGGCTCGTACATGGAGGAGTTAGTAATGCATGAATTTTTTCCTCCTTGTAGAATTCAGGATAAACCCTGTTGATCCTGTGTTTTTCTAAGGACCAAATCACCACTCTTTCCTGAGGGTAACTCTACAGACGTGATTAATTCATTAATGTAGATATTATCTTTCTTTTGATGGTCACGGGATAATTGCTTTGAATTGAAGCTATTATCTCCTCCATTGTCACCATCACTAGGCAGGACCGCATGGTTTAAGGCAACGCCTCGGGTAGGAGCAAAAACGCATCCACTGTGGAGATGAGGTTTCGGTTGCCTCCGTTCTTTAATTTAAATAGCGCAAACCCGTTACCAGGTCAAAAGAACTATATTTGAATTCGAGCTGCAGGAGGTAAATCGAAGTATACTAGAATTGATTTCTAGCCTGCTTGAAGGCGGATGCTGAATTCAGACCAGCAGTCACACTCCGGGATTTCCACAGTAGTTCATGAAAGAATTAGAATCTGGGGCTAAACAGAGTAAACACACCCGCTTTTCCTGCACCAGAAAACGCCAAGATGTTCATAGGCATCGTGTTAGTCACATTACCAAAAACTGCAACATTCATGTAAATAGTGACTTTCCCACCCCGTGTCGTCGGCAGGCAGTGGATGCCCACGATAGGATGCCCTACAGTTCTCCACAGTCATCTGCCCAGGCGACTGGGCGTCCCTGGTCCCATCCCGCCCTCCGAAACCCGTGAAGGGTGTTCAATACCCGCGCTCACCGCGGTCTTTTGCTGCCCCCTGCCAGGCCCCTACCGTCGGGCTACGAAGGGCTGAAGTACCGCCCCGAGAGGGCGCAGGACCCATGACGTCACCTCTGCGCGCGACCCGAGGACGGAAGTTAGTCTGCTCCACTTCCGCTCCACTTAGCCACTCCGGACGCCAGAGGCGGAAGTAAAAGCCATATACAGCGGGTGGGTACAGTTCAGGTTGAGGCTGGGAAGGTGGTGAGGCTGTGCTTTACTTTCTTTTTGTGAAGAAGTGGGTCTGGGTGACTGCTATACAGTGCAGCCTCTTGCAGAATTGCGCTTGGAGTAGGAAGCGGGATGGAAAGAGTCTTCGGTGTGGAATTACCTTGGTTTTGAGTTAGGAAAGAATCCCTCCACTGGGTTTCGAACCTTGGTTTTGAGTTAAGAAAGACCCCCTCCCTGGGTTTCGAACCCTAATGCTTCAGCTAGCGAACACCGGCTAGTGTGGGAGCTCGGCGCTGTTTCAGGTTTTGTAATTTAAGGCTATGTCTACCTTTTAAGTTGTGGGGTGTAAAGCGAGACAATGTATATGAAGCACTTAGCTCTGGTTTATAAAACATGTTCGTGATTCCGCTACCTTTTCCCATCATACGCCGTCGTGTACTTGCCGTTTTCATTTCTGTATGTTTGAGAGATGATGTTTGCAAGAGGCAGTGAGGCTCACGAGAACATATTGCAACGAGAACGTTAGCTGGGATCTAAATCTTACTTTGTATTAGGAAAGCCTGATATATTTTGCCTTTGTGTGTGTGTGTGTTTGTGTGTGTCATCTCTAGAGACAGTTCTCCAGCCTTTATGGAGGGATGCAGAGCCTTTCCTTAAGACAAACAAGGTAAGAAATGCATGTAAAGATCTCCAAACTTAGCTTGCTGTGTCAGAAGAAACCAGCTGGAATGTGGTATCTTAGGGCCAGTGATTAGTTATTTCTGTTAACAGCCTTTTTAACAGGCCAATTGTGGGGCAGAGGGGAATGGAAATCTTTTTTTTAGACCACTTATACTGCAACCGTAGAGATTTTCAGTGTGTTTATTAAGTTTGAACATTAGCCCTTGGGATAATGGTTTTGATTAATTTAAAAAGTCAGCTTGAGAAATAGATTGAAGTCAGTTTTGGAATAGGTACCATTTTTGAAATTTGTACATGAGGAAAATTGATAACTCTCTTGTATTAGGCTATTTAGTTGTTCATTTACCCTGCTAGATAATATGAGTATTTTGAATGGAAATCGGTTGCTTAAAAGTAAAGCATCATAGAGAATTTTGAAGTGTGACTTTTTTGGTGCTAGAAACTGAAAACTAGATAAAGATGATATGTATTTTCCATTTTTTTTTTACACCTAAGGCCAGTTTTACTTGTTTAAATTTTTTTGTCTGACTGCAAAGTAACACATGTAAATAAAGTCCCGATATTTCAAAGTAGTGCGTAGACTCCATTAATCTTTCAGAAATAGATGTCATTCCACTTACCCCCTCTGTGTATATTAATATCCCCCCCCCTTTAATATACTTGGCATTATCCATACTGTTAAGCAGTTTGTCATGTAGAATATTTTGGACATCTTTTGATTGCAGTAAATCGGCCTTTATTTTTGGCACCTTTATAGGATATCGCATTGATGTACTACAATTTATTAATCATTCTTTTGGTGACCATTTGGGTTTCTTCTTCTTTGCTATAGCAAATGATGTTATGATGGTCATCCTTTTTCTTTTCTTTTTTTTTTTTTTTTTTTAAGAGACAGAGGCTTGCTCTGTTGCCCAGGCTGGAGTGCAGTAGTGCAATCTCAGCTCACTACAACCTCTGCCTCCCGGGTTTAAGCAATTTTGTGCCTTAGCCACCCAAGTAGCTGGAATTAGAAGCATGCGTCCTCATGCCTGGCTAATTTTTGTATTTTTAGTAGAGATGGGGTTTCATCATGATGGCCAGGCTGATCTCAAACTCCTGGTCTCCCAAAGTGCTGAGATTACAGGTGTGAAGCCACCGCGGTTGGCCTGGTCATCCTTTTTCTTAACAAACATGTATTCTTGTCTTTTTTTCTTTTTGAGATGGGCTCACTCTGTCATCCAGGCTGGGGTGCAGTGGCTTGATTATGGCTCACTGCAGCCTCGACCTTCTGGGCTCAAACAGTCCTTCAGTGTAACAGAGTGAGAACTACGAAGAATAGAGAGGTTGGGTTTTAGAGAGATGCCAAAGAAGCTGAATCTACATGATTTGATGACTGGAGTTGAAGAGGAAGAAAGCAAAGCTCACTTTTAGATTTTTATCACGAGTGACTCTATAGTGATAGTGGTGTCTTTAGTCAGAAGAAGCAAATTTGGGGACTGGGAAAGAGACTCAAGTTTGGGGCATGTTAATTCGTGTGGAAGATACTTCTGTGGAGGATGAGTTATACATAAAACATCAAATTTACTTGTGACAGCTTTAGAAGAAACGTTTATGGATTTATTTTTGTTAGGAATTTTGGCACACATTTTCACTTGTTTTTAATTTGCCCTTAGTAGAATTTCTGTTGAACGGTCTGTGGCTTGTTCAGCCCTGTTTACCGTGATGCTGATAGTCTCAGTAAAGTGCACTATCTAGTAGTCTTCACTCATTTTTGATTGTGTACATTGTTAGTAAAAATATGCCTATAATATATGTACACTTGTTTGTTGATTATATGTCTTACAGTACAATTACATTGTTTATGTGTAGAAAGAATTTTTCAAAGTCTAAGCCAAACATAAATTGTAGTTTCACTATTTTCTTCCTCCATCCCATTTTATCATCTTGGACCTCTCTAGAAAGTACTGGCCTATCTCCAGCTATGCAGTCTGCCTCATTTTTCCAGTAGAGGTCACTCGAGCATCAGACTGTTGAGCTATGCAAGGTAGAGCCTTCATTCTTCAGTTAGAGAATTATATTTTAAAGTTTTAGAGTTTCTAAATTCACACATTTTTGGAAGAGTATGTAGTTATAGAGTAATATGTGGTATTATGGAGAAGTGAATACTGAGCTCAGTAGAGTATCGATCAATTTGAAGATGTACTCTTGTTGTTTGATATTTATGTTGTGAGTGCCCTGCATTTGCCTTTGAACATTACTTGATTCTATAGTTGTGGAATCTTTTCTCAATTCTGTGAGAATCTGTAGATTTCGTGAGCCACAGGAATGTTCCCTGCCTCTAGGCATAATCAAGTTCTTACTAAAATTGGAGTAATTGAAAGGGTAGACACAAAGAGGCTTTCTTTGAAATTGATCTAAAGCAGTATTTTTAGCCCACAGAGGTTAGTAGTGGGTTGGAATCATCTATCTCTATTTTCTGTTTTATGCTTAATTAGGAGAAGGAGAAAAAGGAAATGCATTTTCTAAGTAAGAGCCCATGGTAGGTGATTAGAAATCAAGCACGAACTTTGTTACAGCTATATATTCTGAAAAGGCAAAAGTACAGTTTAAAAAATATATATATTCTGCTATGTGACTCAGGCACAAGTAGCTTAGTAACAAATCATCAGATGGGCCGAATAACAGAACACTTTTTCTGTTGCTTTCCTCATAAAATATTTCTTATAAAAATGGAAATGTTCATTTTAGTAGGGACCTATGATTATGAATATAAATAAGTTTGTATGTTTTCGGCCACATTTCTAAATGATCAAGTAAATTAGTTATTAAGGTTTTAGTCGCATGCTAGAAGCTGCAAGTTGAAAGTGTTGTGCAGCAGATGCAGACAGCCCAGAATTAATCTTGTGTAATATGGTGATGGAGAAGGGGAGAATGGTAAAAGTAAAGTTTTAGTGTTTATATACAGTTTCACATGTGGGCTGTGTGGATTTAATATCTCAACTAGATCATTTTGAAGATGAAAATTGGTTTGAAATTACTGGGTTGCAAAGTAGGGAATGATAGGGTAAACCAAATGAGATGGAAATTGTGATCCAGAGCTGTTGACTAGAGGTCTATATAAGCAAAGAAGAATTAAGGCTTTAATGGTAGCATGGCTATATAGGGTACCATGAATCTAGAAAAAGGTGTTCAAGATGGAAATTAATCTGAGGTATTGGTTTTTCAGGACAAGATTTAGAGTTTGAAAACCGGGATGTCAGAGGCAGAGAAATCTAGTGTCTATGGGGAGGGCAAGGTCAAAGATCTGAAAATTGAAATATAAGGCAGAAATGAAAGTTCATTGTAAGAAATAAGTCAGGCCTGTCATGGTGCCTCACACCTATAATACCAGCACTTCAGGAGGGCAAGGCAGGCAGATCACTTGAGCCCAGGAGTTTGAGACCAGTCTTGGTGTCATGATGAAACCCTGCCTCTACAAAAAAGTAAAAATAAAAAATTAGCTGGGCATTGTGGTGCATTCTTGTGGTCCCAGCTACTCAGGAGTCTGAGGTGGTAACATCACCTGAGCCCAGGGAGATGAGGCTGCAATGAGCCATGATTGTGCTGCTGCACTCCAGCCTGGTTGACAGAGTGAGACCCTGTCTCAAAAAAAAAAAAGTTTGGAAACCAGGAGGACAAAGCAGAGATGGAAGCCAGGAGGACGAAGCAGAGATGCAGTGGGTCAACTGTTTTTAGGTGCCCAAGGCAGGCAAGGGTGAACAAAAAGAGCAAGAAAAAAAGCATGAATAATTCTGGGGCACTAATGGTGCCCAATCCTGTTTTCTTTATGTTAAAAATGGAAGCAACCCTGTGCCCACCGATAACAGAAGCAGTGAGCTAGGGAGAGACAGTGTAGTGGCTGAATTCTTAACACAGTTCTGGAGAGCTGGAGCTGAAGGTGTGTTCTCATAGAAAGGACCATGATGCTCATAGGATCATAATGTGGTCATTTAGTTGTTTGACACATACATTTGTGTAATATTTTATGTGTTGTTTTATACAGCATTTAAAAAAGTTTGGACTACCTAACCATTATGGCAGCAGGAAACCTCTGGTGTATGAGAAGTAACTTTCTCTTTGGTTCAAGATGTTGGATGACACGATTTTCATCAGAAACTGTCTTCAAATCAGTTTCATTTAGGCTTTTTGGTGTGAAGTATCGTAATGCAGACAATGAGCCTTCGGAGAATGAGGAACTACTGAACAACTTACTTACTATGGGAGTAGATATTGTCATGGCAAGGAAACGGCAGCCTGGAGTTTTCAACAGGATGATTACCAATGAGCAGGATCTGAAAATGTTCCTTCTTTCCAAAGGAGCTAGCAAAGAAGTGATTGCTAGCATTATATCAAGATATCCACGAGCCATAACACGTACTCCTGAGAGTCTTTCAAAACGGTGGGATCTGTGGAGAGAGATTGTGACTTCAGACCTTGAAATTGTAAATATTTTGGAACGTTCTCCTGAATCCTTTTTTCGGTCCAGTAACAACCTAAACTTAGAGAATAATATAAAGTTCCTCTACTCAGTTGGATTGCCCCGTAAATGCCTTTGTCGATTGTTGACCAGTGCCCCTCGTACCTTCTCCAATAGTCTTGATCTGAATAAACAGATGGTTGAATTTTTGCAGGCAGTCTGTTTGTCATTGGGTCACAATGATCCCACAGATTTTGTCAGGAAAATAATTTTTAAAAACCCTTTTATCTTAATTCAGAGCACCAAGCGGGTGAAAGCTAACATTGAATTCTTACAGTCATCTTTCAGCTTGAACAGTGAGGAACTGCTGGGACTGATATGTGGTCCAGGAGCTGAAATCTTAGACCTTTCCAATGACTATCTCAGAAGAAACTACACAAATGTCAAAGAGAAGCTGTTTTCTCTTGGATGTATTGAAGAAGAGGTACAGAAGTTTGTCTTAAGCTATCCAGATGTGATCTTCTTCGCAGAGAAAAAGTTTAATGATAAAA